GCAAACAATGATAGGAAATAATAACTTCTTATTAACCGAACGCGAGGTCTGCATGTACAGAGAAATATCGGACAGAGGGGCTTTTTTTGCAGACCGAGCCCGTATGGCAAGGTTTGTACAAAAAGACTGACGTCCGATATGGCGATATTCAGTCTGTACATACCGAGCAAGCGAGGTTAATAAAAAGTTTATTATGTGGCATTTACAGGCATTATACTTGAAGCGAACAAGAAATACATGATTTGAAATGCATATATAGCGTGGCACACATTTGGTCAAAGAAAACAAAAAATACCAATGTATTCCTTCTTTTCCACAAAAAACCATTCGCAAATATCTTATTAATAACAAATTAAATTATAATTTTCAAATTTTTAATTAGTTTTGCTGTTTTGTTTTAAAATGCATGTGTTTGTTTTTACGTAATCAGGGACCGCCGGTCCACGGTCCATTACGGGAAAATAATGGACCGCTGAAAGTGATTCTCAGCCAATCACAGTTCGCCATTTCACTGGAAGTGATGCTTGCCATATAATAATAAGTATTAACATATCAAAGTGCATTGATTGCATCAAATTAAATGCTATTTTTTTTAGAACTAATGTCCGCAAAGTTTAGAAAATGTACTCTAAACATTCAAACCAACAAAAATATTTGGTGAGACATCAAGGAAATTTTGCTGAAACTAAGGAATATTTTTCAAGAAACTAAGGAATTCATATAGAGTGGAAGTGTAAAGCCTAAAATTCTGCATTGATTGCGATGTTTTGATGATTGCGACGATTTTTTGGCGATGTTTGTTTAGTTTCGGCATGGTTTTTGTCGAATTATTGTAGATCTACAAACGGTTGTTTTCCTCGCGGATGATTGTTTGGGTACATGTTCAATTTAGAGGCAAAATTACCCATACTTTTTGCTGATCTACGAAATTGGCGTAAAAGCATCCGCCATCTTGAATCTTACATGAATATTCCGATTTGTGACCTACACTCCACATGACACAGTGCCAAAACTTAATATAATTCCTCAGCAACTATAAAGCGGAATTGGCACCAAAGAAAGCCCTACGTTACAACCGATGACCATAAAACGTGAAAGCCTATGTCGTACCAGCCGCTAGATAATGACATTTCATATTTACTATTTAGAATGTATTACTAAATCTAAGTATCTAACAAGATTAATATAAGTTTAAAATATCATACGAGTTATACGCTTACCTGCACGCAACGATTTTGACAATTACCAGCTTCGATTTCGCCAGAAACTAAATCAAGATTTGAACTTTGATCCGCATTAGCCGGGACTTGATTCTCGAGTAAGTCATCGCTTGGGCTGCTCATATTCAATTCGACTTCGAGTGTATTCGGTCAGTATAATCTGCAGACTGCGGACTGCAGACTGCAGACCGGACTGGGTACAAAATGCAGACTGGGGGTATAAAATGCAGACTGAGGATAAAATGCAGACTGGGGGTGAATTAGGGATATTTTACAAATTCCCGCCAAGCCATAGTCGAAATGGACGAAGACAGCGATGTAGAGGTATTGATATTATATGAATATTTATATTATTCTCATTCAACCGTAAAACTTGATAACTTTAACACATTTCTTTACGTTTAATATTTGAACGTTTGGTTACGTTGCATTAGATCGGAACAATGAAATCTGGACGTCGACTGTCGACTGTCAAGCACAGGGTTTTGTATTAGCAATTTTTCATATTTTCAAGCGTTTCGCTCCTGTAATTCAAGTTCATATACATATATAGACCAATAGCAAGCTTGCGTAGAGTGCTTGTCGACAGTCGACACGATATATACCATTAAAATTTCACATTCAAAACGTCCAGATTTCATTGTTCCGATCTAATGCAACGTAACCAAACGTTCAAATATTAAACGCAAAGAAATGTGTTAAAGTTATCAAGTTTTACGGTTGAATGAGAATAATATAAATATTCATATGATATCAATACCTCTACATCGCTGTGGCCCATTTTGATGAAAGTGACCTGCCTCCTCCACAGGCCCTCGTTGTATCATGGGAAGGTGACCTTCCCATGACGCAACGAGGGACTGCGGAGGAGGCAGGAAAGTGACTAGCTTCAACATTAATATTATCAACAAGAACGATCACGTGACTATGGCTTGGCGGGAATTTGTAAAATATCCCTAATTCACCCCCAGTCTGCATTTTATCCTCAGTCTGCATTTTATACCCCCAGTCTGCATTTTGTACCCAGTCCGGTCTGCAGTCTGCAGTCCGCAGTCTGCAGATTATACTGACCGCGAGTGTATTCAGTTACCAATGAAATATTGAATGGTCCGAAATTCAGCACAAAGATTGTAAAATAATTTATCGCTCTGTTAAATTTGTCTTTATAGACTTTATATATAAATGCCGGTAGGAAGCGAACGATCGAGAGTTAAACTGACCAGGCTGCTTTAAATACGCGGCGCGGCGGTTTTCCCCGAATGGTACTTTCCCGAAATCACCATAGGAATGATCTCATCATGATTTAATATGAATGCGATTTCCGAGTATCAGCACTTTATACAATGGGAATACGGGATATTGTGTCTAGACATGAATCTCAATATTCGACTCATTATTCATACCGTTCTCGCTATATGTTGCTATCATTTCCGCTTTAAATTGTCACAAAGTGAGGTTAACAAATTAAAATTCGAAGGAAGAAACATCTGGGCGAAAGCGCGGACCTAGATCTATTAACCGTGGCCAAAGGAGGTTACATATATAAGGATTTATACAAAGCCAGTCGAAGGATCCAAAATATCCATGCAAGCGCTAGATAAAGTACTTACCAAACTTTCTGTTCAAAATTTGCTAAATCGAGAACAGTTTTTACCAAATTTCTTCCCACTCTCCGGGTACCAGCAATTAGGTTGACTAATTAGCCGTTCTCACGGCCGATTTTCTCACCATTCAGTGAGGTACTGCCTCTCCCACGTTTGAGAGTCTCGGCACCACGAAATGCGACTTTTTAGCATTATAGTTGTTTGTATAATGCCCATTAATGGTAAATTTACGTGAAAAGCGACTTTTAAATGTTGTAACTGTTGTTGAATTGTCTAGAATCTTTCACGAGGGCAGAGCCCCAAAAATGGCGGATTTGGGTATTTTTGGCGTTCGTGAGAAAGGCTAATTGACTAGGTTAGTAGGTTAGCCTGAAAACAGGCTGATTACCCACCAATTTCAATTCCTATATTAGCTACTAGAGAGCTTCAGTTTTAGCATCTCTAGATCTATCACACAAGATACCATTCAAACACGAATTTTTACCAAAAATTACTGAATTATCACGGTATTAAATCTCAGAAAGTTTGTCAAACTGATAACTAAATGAATTTCACCACCAATGTTTTTCCAAAATTGATAAAATTTCACTAAACACTGAATTTCTAACTCTAACCCTTTTGATGCGAATTCAGGAAAGCAAGAGGGATATTATTATTATTAGTAGTAAATATTATTATTATTATCCTGAATTATTTCCCGTTTTCATTGTATTTATGCATGCAGCCCACTATAAAACCGCGGGCTGCATGCTGCTGAGTTTTAAATTAAAACTGCAGTGAAATTATAAAATTAACGAAAATAATCACAAATTAGCGAAATATATTGCGAAATGTAGCTAATATTAAAACTCCACGTACCCGATTGTACGTACTATCGGCGAACTGACGTATAGTGACATATAGTGACAACCTTATAAGGTTGGGCTGCCTATGATTTATGTTGCATATATATATATATATATATATATATATATATATATATATATATATATATATATATATATATATATATATATATATATATATATATATATATATATATCTATGATTGCATGTCTCAAGTGACAGATAAGGAAGTACGATATAATGATTATGTGTGGGAAATTGAACAAGTTCCTCAATTTTGTGCTATTAATGCCAATGTTCCTCAGAATCAAGGATTTCGAGATCCCACTTTTTTCCAGGTCTTCGAAAGTCGTTGAACTATTAGTCCGGAGCCTGCAAAGCACTGTAATAAATAAATAAGATGCTTAAACCGACTTCGCTTATCGCTTTAAGAATTACTTTTAGCTTTCAAAAGATTTACTTAAAAGTTAAAACCTGCAGTCATGTCCAATGAAAACGCTCGAAATATATTTCTAGTGTGAAATTAACACCAAATCAGGGGGGGGGACCAATTAGGAAATTCATATAACTAATCACATGATCAAACAAAAGTTCCCAAAATGGCTTCCGAAGCGATACCACCACCACCACCACCACCACCACCGCTGTTAAACAACGATAATACCAATACAAGCACTCTTCCAAATGGTCCTTCAACTAGCCAGGTACAATCTTCAGATAATGGAGGGCAAACAACGTCTACAGACGGAACAAAATCGTGGGAGAGAGCTTGGTCAGTCGATGAAATGCGGAAAGGAGCTACGAACTGGTCGCTTGCGTCAGATGCTGGGGTAACTATTTTCATTATTAGAATTTGTAGAAAAGTATTTTATTCCTAGGGCTATAAGGCTTTTGATTTGCGCATTAATGTAGTTTATTGCACATGTTATAATATTCTTAAAAATAATATTTATGAATCCAAAATGCCTTCTGTGAACGACACTGTCACACTGACTCTGATACAGAGTTTGAAAGAGACCAGTAGTTCCAAAAGAAGGTATTTACCAGGCCGAAAGTAGTTGTTCTAATTGTGTTGTGTAGAGATGTAGTAAACATGACAACTTTTAATAGCATGCAGTATTTGTTATGGATGTGGTTTTTAGTTGTTTTTGGTAGTTCGATGATTTATATCAATTCAACACTGTATCAGCACAGTATCAGATTGCACAATCAGTGGCCTTCAGAATGTATTCATCAATATGACACAGATCATCCATTTTAGTGTGAACAGGAGATGGGCCATTCAGATGAAGTTGCTAGAAAAGCAAAAAAGTAATACAAATAAAAAATTACTGCTACTTGCCTATGACAACCAGAATATAGAAGCCTAACTGGAAAGTTTGGAAATTGCGCGGGGGAGATTTCGAAAATTTAATAGTAAATATATAGAAAGCATCAAAAGTGCACGGGGGATTTCTCCTCCGCGCGATACAAACTTTCCACACTGGTATAGAAGCTGTATGCCGGACATATCCAGCATACAGGTGTGCATTTTCGCATGCAATAAGCATTATTTGGTGTGCAAATTTAGCCATGAATTTTCATATTTTGGAATACAGTTTTCCTTACTAAAGAAGTAAAAATACAACAATTGATTGATGTTATTGACCTGGACTGATTGGTCATTCCAAAAAAATATCCATACCTCCCCCACAGAGGAAATTGGAAATTAACCCTCCTAGCCACTTTGGATATTTTAAATAATACTACTAAATCTGAATGCTACACAAATCTCACCACTTCAAAACCTACAGGATTGAGCAGTTAGAATAATCAAATCAAGCAAATCTGCACATCTCCCTATAACATTAGAGTAATTGACAGTTACCATATTTACTCGATTGAGCGCCTCCCCCGATTGAGCGCCGCTCCCGAATAAGCGCCGCATTTGAGATCAAATTTTTTTAAAGAGCGCCGCACCCGAATGAGCGCAGCACTGAAAAGTATAAAAACTTTCCGCCGTCAAAATGGGGACATTTAGTGACAAAAATCTTTTAAAACTTGTTTGTTTTATTGTTAAAAGTTCTTGTTATAACCCACAAATAAAAGTTTTTTTAAAGAGCACCGCCTCTGATTGAGCGCCGCCCCCAAATGAGCGCCGCATCTGAAGCTCTAAAAATTTAAAGAGCGCTGTGGCGCTCAAACGAGTAAATACGGTGTATGTTATTTAAAAGAGCATAGGGGTGCACAGGAACTTGGTTCTGGCCGGAAACTAACTAATAAAAAAACTAATAAAAAAAGCATGGCTGGAACCGGAACTCTGTCGTTTTCAGAGAGATAGATGTAAATTTAGTGATAGAGGACATGCAGTGATTTTCACTGAATCGTTTTTAGCCTGTGTGAATGTTTCTTAATAATAATAATAATAATAATAATAATAATAATAATTACTATTATCAGAAACAAACTTTTCTTCCCACCTCTTCCGAATGGCAGAAATTTCCTTTGTTGAGGGAGTGTGGATCTTTTCTGGAACAACTCATTGCATGCATGTCTCAGTTGGTGTAATCATGTTTAGTGAACTGTTTTCCTGAGCTGGTGTATTACTGTCCAGTGCACAAAAATGTAACTTTCCAGATTGGTGTAATGCACTGTCCAGTGACAGTGGTTGATATTTATATTTTCACCCAGGCATACAGAATTTGAATATTTACATAAAATTTTATACAAACATATAAGAGGTACTGTAAGCAGACGGATCATCTGTCAAGTCAAAATATCTGGAAAGTTTGTCTAAATGCATACTTGCATATGCAATGGTCTATCTTTGTGTGTAAATACTGAACCTTGTACATGTATAAGAGAACTCACAGCCAATGGCTGGTTAGGTTAATGACTGGCTAAAACATTAAGTTTGGTGACTGAGTACTGACAATGAGAGAAAGTCATGTCAAACTCTGAGAGTATGAGGTTTTTGGCAGAGGAAAAAGATGGCAAAATATTTTGGATTTCTAGTTGATTGATGAGAATTTCAAAACGCATTGAAACATTGACTGCTGCTTGGAAAGTACATGTAGTAATCATTTACTTGGCTACTGCAAGACATAGTTTGCTACAGCTGCTATTACAGTTTAAATACTGTTTTAAAAAGTAGCCCAAAACTACTCGTTACTTCAAAATTGTAATTTGTTACAGTAGTGAACTACAGTACAACTACTTCGCTACTACCCACCCTTGCTAGTAAGAGATTTACAGTATTTATGTATTTATTTATTTAGCTTTGCTTCTTACAAAAAACCCAAACAAACTGACAAAACAAAACAAAAACAGCTAATAAAATAAAGAGGCTGGAACACCACCACAGCTTAAATGCCAATTACAGCGGGCTTGTCTGTCCCATGATCTCTCTTACTGTACATGTAATTGTAATCCAGAGAACAGCATCACTCATCTATCTTTGACCTTTTGACAAAATCTGAAGAAATAAATGATTTTTCACTTTAGCTGCTACTTTACATGCAAGAATTCTCTCAGAACATGTTATCACAAACACATAGCATGGAACAAAAAGTAGATGGACTGGTCGATGAAACCAAGGTACTGCTATATAGTTTTTTCAGGCAGGCAACAAACATTTATTACAGTATACTGTAGATTACTGGACAGGTATATTATGAATGGGATGCAGGGTCTTAGCCAGGATTTGCAACTTGGGTGTCCAAATTTGAATTTTGTTTATGACACCCAATTTTTGCCATATGGAACCATTGCACCACTTCATGCACCAGTAATTCAATGTGATTATTCCCGAATGCTGGGAGTAATCAGTTACTGCACTCGAGAATCGCCCAAAAACTATAATAATATATCCAATTATTCAGACTATGTCACTACCACTACACTGACTACAGTAGTGTCATGCGATTCTGCTTGCTAAACACGTACCCTTTCTGCTTCTGCATTTGCGACATTTTAGTTTAGTTCACCATGTTTAATTAAATGAATATGCCTCCTCTGTATTACTCACCTGTTTTCCAGTAGGTCACCCTTAATTGAGAATTCCAGGTTCCCATTTTACCCCATTCACTCCCGTCTCTCCGTACTTACAGTATTCAATGAGTGATCATATGTATTTACGAACATTTTCTAGGGAATATCTGCCAAAGTCCATAACACCTTCAACAATTTTCTGATGTTGTCAAATACACAGTTCATTGAGAATGTAAGATTTGTTTATGTTTTGTAGTTTTGTATTTTATTTAATATTTTATTCTGACGCTGTGCACAGAGAGCAACGAAAAGTTTGTTATCTCGAGCTCGCATCCTGGTGTATTTGACCTCCCATCTTCGGGTTTCTACAGAGTAGGGTATCAAGCTATTGTTAGAATTTGAACAGTGGTGTCAAGTAACGAAGTAAATGTACTTCGTTACTGTACTTGAGTACTATTTTTGAGAAGTGAGCATGTAACAAAGTAAACTTTTTCTGGAGTACTTTTACTTGGAACGAAGTCATTTTAAGAAGTAACGTTTTACTTCAATTGTTATTTTCATTTTGTGGCGAAGTATTTCGTTACTTTCTAACTTTTATTTAATTTTACGTGATTTATTCCTGATTTATTTTAGTTTTGGGATAGGTAATAGGACCTCTACATGCGTCTGGGATCTCTCGTTTGTGACTTACTTATAAGCATGATTTATTTAATGGATTTCTTATACCTTCAACGGGGCCTGGAAAGTAGACCATGCCGTGAAATATTGTATATTAGGTGCACGCATATAACGCTTGTGCTGTTTTGTATCTTTTGTATGTCAATCCATTGGAGAAGCCCCCCCCCCCTACATGCTATAGACAATAGTACTTTTACTTTTTACTTCAAGTATTTTTTAAGGATACTTTGTACTTTTTACTTATTAGTACATTTTGCTTCCAGTACTCTTTACTCTTACTCAAGTCGTTTTATTGTTAATTACTTCTACTTTTACTTTTACTCGAGTACAAATTCAATGTAATTTAGGCACTACTGAATTTGAATGCAATACCACTATGCTGAAGCCACGGGTGTGTAAAACAGAATAAAAGTGGATTTTATGCATGATGAAGTTATTTAAAACTCTAATTTGGTTTGACATTTTTTATGCAGTTCTGTTCCTTCATACGATTAGAAGCTATTTTAAATTCCCAGGAGCATAAAATGTTTACTGCTTAAGAAGAGAATCTTTTGTATGTTACGTAACACGCTGTCAAAACTAATGAATATATACTTTTCCACTTGGTTATGACCATATTCAATTTTTAATTTTCGATACGTTTCTCAAGCGGCAAACAAACTTAAAAAGTATGTTTAGTGCTTTATCTGTAAAATTATGCTAAAATGAAGAGGTTTTAGATGATACGCCAAAGAGAAAATGATGTCTGAATTCAGTAAGTTTTGCTTATATGGCTGTATAAATATATGGCGCCGTGAATTTTACGGCATCATTGATAATGGTATTTAAATATTTAAATTGACAATATTTAACTATTAGTATTATTCTGTGTTTCTCAACCGCGAGATACGTTTAAAAAGGTTGCTGACTATGTAAACTACAAAGTAAAGCTAAAACAAAGTAATTTTAAGAGGAACGCCAAAACGATGTTAGCTTTTGAAAACTTTTCATCGCAAATACGTGACATTCCTAAAATTCCCTCTTAACAATAATAATTCAGTGATTTCTAAAGGCCTCGTTTTTTTATACTTTACACCCTGATGACCAACTCAGGAAACCGACAGTCGCAACAGCAGAAAACAAAAATTACTTACATGTTTGTATGCAAGCCGAAGCATATATTACTAAACTTTATTTGCCTCTTAAAAATACCTATCTTTCTTTGCAATTGAAACTGAACCTTTCAGTAACAATCAAGGGCGGATTTTCATTTATTTAAAAGGAGGGGTAGAAAAATTTCTGGTGGGGTGCAAGCGGCACCACTCGGTGAGCTTCGGCAGGGTTAGGCGTTTAGGTTAAAGCCTTTCACACAAAATAGGAGGGGTGAAGCGAAATTTTGGTGGGGTTGAACACTTTATTAGAGGGGGTTAGAGAGATTCTAGGTGGGGTTTAACCCCCCCTAACCCCCCAGTAAATCCGCCCATGGTAACAATAGTCGGTGAATCCACATAAAATACCTCACACGACTTCGAACGTTTTAACGGTTGGCATGGTTATGAACCATGGAAGTTATGTTTGAACAACTAGGGCGTACTAGAATGCTCAAGGGAATACAATTTGTAGTCGTCTTTCTCTTAGAGTAAAAATTCTATTGTTGATGATCTCTTGCCAAACTCGCTGTTAATATCTATTAGTGCCTGCAAGAAAAATTCATCACTTCGAAATGTGCCCGCAATAATGCATCACATTTTGGGGTTTTGCGAGCTACTGTATAACTGTAAATTTTGTTAATAAAAGTGCCTGCACAAAATAAAAAAGTCCGCATTTTAACGATGCCTGGCCGTTCTATGCCCATGGAGCTATCGAGCAACGGGGCTTAGCGGAATCGCAGGGCAGATTCCTGTCACAGAGAGAGGGCTTAAGGTCCAGACACACCGGATGCGATTCGACAACGCGACGCGATTTTTTAGTTTTTGAAAGTTAATAAAACAGTCAATGAGAGCAAATTTTGAAAGATATGTAGACCAAATAACTCAAAATGTTATAGCGCTTCTAAATATTTGGAAAATTTGAACTAGGATCAAAGTTATCGGTCAGTGAAAATCGAAAAATCGCGTCGCGTTGTCGAATCGCGTCCGGTGTGTCTGGACCTTTATATTTGTATTTTTCGCAACTGCTTCTGGGTAGATGTAATAAATAAAATTCGCACTCGAAAATTCCATCTATACAAAAACGATTGGCGGTGAATCTTATCTAATTTAAGTACACGAAATATTGCGGAAGATTTGCGTTAGTAAGAAGATTTACAGTAGGACTCCCGTTGATTTACGATGATTTTTGTCAAAATATTTTGAGAACCGAACAACATACGATGAAGCTGTAAAAAATGGTTTCCACATAATTTTAAGATATATTTCAAATGAGACAAACTAAATTTCAATTGCCATATCCCTTTAAAAGGCTTATCGTACTAGACTGTGTGTGTTGTAGAGAGTTTATGATGAAGAGGAAACTAAGGATGAAGAAGAAAAACATGATGAAGCAGTTACTCAGGAAAAAGTATGTTCACAATTTACTGTATATGCATGCAGGG